TGCTTTTATTTTTAACCACACGTATAAAAGACAATGATCTTAAAGACAAATTCTTATTGTTCCTGTATTTAGAAAACACCATCCAAAGTATGAGCTTCCAGACACACCCTGACACACACGCACGCATCCAGGCTGACGTAGCTAGCTTGCAACTTTCCACTGTGAAACCAGAAGTTCATGCTTTGCTGTTGAGTCATTTCATACAGGGAAAAAAGCAATTGCAAATTAGTTAATTTTGTCATCCCATAACAAACCCTATATTTGGATGCATGCGTGTCACGTGCATTTTGCCCATTTTTTGCTCTATTTTCTCAAACGATCTCTTTCAAAAGAAGAAAATACGGCTTATCATCCATGTAGTCAACATTTTTCTGTGGAAAGCTTTTTACAGACTCACCTTTGATGCTTTTCCTGTTGACATCTGCCCCTTTCTCCAGCAGGTACTGCGCTATCTCCTTGTGCCCCTTGTAGCATGAAATCATGAGACACGTATGGCCGTGTCTGTTGGCTACTTCCAGGTCAGCATTGTGCTCCACCAGGTATTTCACAATATCCAGGTGGCCGTCAAAGCAGGCCGCCCTCAGGGGCGTTGAGTTGGTCAGCGTTGTGCTGTTGACAGAAGCTCCGTGACCCAGCAGGGACTGGACTACCTTCAGATGTCCCGCTGCCGAGGCAGCCCAGAGAGGGGGCGCCCCCTCGATAGTCTCCCCGTCAAAGTTCACCGATCCACCGACCTCGACAGGAGCACTGCAGCACTCCAGCAGATACTCCACCAGGTCCAAGTGGCCGTACCGGGAGGCCATCAGGAGCGGGGTGGCCCCGTTTGTCTTCTCGCCCATTAACTTGGTCACCTCGTGCCCATCTTTGTTCTCCAGCAGCTTCTGAAGCAGCCGGAGCTTACCATCTCTGGCTGCGTTAAACACCGCGGTCTTTAAATCCATCCCCGAGACGTAAATTCACGGTTTAATAGTAGTTTAAAAAATGGCAGCGCTGTCTGTCAAACAATGGGGTCGACGACCCGTGGAGGTGTAAGGTCGCTGTGGACAGGTGAAGCTTGGCAGCCTTTGTTTATAACGAGCTCCGACTTTCTAGCTAACTGGTAAACCAATGTGCTACCTTTTCTTGTTGTTGTTGGGGATTAAAATCCGCAAATAGTTCGTGACTTTCTAAATCTCTAGCTTTAACAAGTTGACACCACTTAAATCTTAATCTATATTACTAACTCAGACGTTTTTAGCCCAGTTAGCAAAAGTGGCTATTCAACTTCCTCGATCCGTTTAGCTAACCGACTAGCTCCGCTTAGCCGAACCACTCTTCACCGCTGCTCATCCACTGACATGTCCGCTCCACTCGAGAAGCCCTTCTTCCTTAGATCTGTCCCCTTCGCTGGTCATTGTTTCCCAGCATAACGTTACTCCTCAGGGGGTTATTTATATTTGCTTTCCAAGGGCCGAAGTGTAGAAATCCACCCCCACCCGTTTACGCTGCTGCTGCTTATGCTAGCCTAGCCAGGAAAAATGACGTTCAGTCAAACAAGCGAGGGGATATCCCCCACTAACCGTGCCGCGTTTCTCCCTCACAGACACACCTCGTCCCCTTCCAAAAACCAACAGGCGTTACCACAAAAACGGCAGGTTACCAGTCGTCCACACAGCCGCTCAACAAGCTGGCAGGTCCGCCAAAGGAAAAGAAGGTAAACAGGGGAGGCTAACTAACCACCCACGGATCGACCGGATGATCACGACTCGGTTTGTGTCAAATCACAAACCCGACGCAGTCTTTTTTTTTCTCCAGTGGAGCACATGATTGACAGGTGGACAGCCAATCAGAGAGCTGGAAGCCCTGTTACGCAGACAACAACAAAGAGTTAAAAGAGTCTGTTTTTCAAGCACCAATGAATTTTCTTACTACCATAGAAAGAGAAACAGAGGCACAGGAAAGACTCAAATACTGCACTGATAGCTGAGGAAGACACACAGTAATGCACATCCTCGGCTGCTTCCAGAGGCAGTTTGAAATTAAAGAGACAGCATGAAAATGATTAAAATATATATATATATATATATATATATTAATGACTATACTTATTTATTTATTTATAAAGTTATTCATTCGGTCTGATCTTTTATTTTTCCTTTAACTTATTTGTTAGGGTTAGATCAACTATTGCAATATAACGCGGGACTCAGTCATCTGGAGATTCCAGTCACACCAACATCTGCATCAATACCCTGTAATACATTAATCATATATTGTATGCTTTATTTATTTAGTTTGCAAATTATTGTTTTTTGTTAAGAACTGTAATATGCTTGGTCAGGACAGTGAGACAGGTTGATGAGGCCAGACAGGATTCTTTGTTGACACTAATGTTTGCAGATGACATTGTGACCATTGTGAGAGAGTAGAAAACAGGTGAAAGAGAGGCTGGAGAGGTGGAAGTTATCACCTTTTTTCAAGCATTTGTCTTAGGTGAATGTAACTGACATGTATAGATAAACCACAAGGCATATAAATATACAATCATACTGAAAGTAAAGTTAGTCAAGTCACGTTTTCCTATATGGGTATATATTTAATAGAATAAAATCTTGTATAACAATTTTTCACCATATACTTAATTGGGGATAGGTGTCTGATGAGTGTAGTAGCATATAATTATTTTTGTACACATACCAAGGTCTTGTAATCATATGTAGATGTATGCATACATTTTACTGTATATAAACAGAGAACGAGTCCCATATTGATCTTCTAGTTATATAAATAGCATCTACCACCTTTTTATTTCAACTTTTCTCACTTTGATTATGTACATCAGTTTGCCAACAGTACAAATGCACCAAATAATACTATAACTTGGGATATAGTTATAGTTTATAATAACAGAACCCAGAAAAAATATCAAGTGTTTAAGCTGTGTTTACCCCTGCACAGCATCCACTCTTCTTTGAAAATCTGTAAATATCTGTGAACTTATGAGACCAGGTGTTGGGCTTCTGGGAGATGACATCTGTAAAAGTCCCATTCATGTCTGATTCTAGATGCTCAACAGTTCTGGGTGGGTCTGCTTTTTCATATTTATTCATTTAGCTGCAAAATGTTTTCAGTTGGAAAAAGGTCTGGATTGCATGTTTGGCAGTTCAGCACCTGGACTCTTCTACTATGAAGCCACGCTGTTGTAATAGCGGCATTATATGATTTAGTCTCGTCTTACTCAAATATGCTAGACCTTCCATGAAAGTGATGTGCAGGATCCATCCATCCATCTTCTATTGCTTAGCCAGGTCTGGGCCATGTGGACAGCAGTTTTGGCAGAGATGCCAAGACCTCCCCTCCCCAGCCACTTACTCCAGCTCATCCGAGGGAACACAGGGGCGCTCTCAGACCAGCCAAGAGACATCATCTCTCCAGTGTGTCCTGAGTCTACCACGGGGCCTCACCCAGGGCTTTTCCACATTCTACTGTGAATAAAATGCAGGTTTATGAGTTTTTCTACACAACATTCTACACACTTCCTAAAGACCGAGCTAGGGATGGGTATTGATAAGATTTTCACGATTCCGATTCCATTTTCGATTCTGTTTAACGATTCGATTCTTTATCGATTCTCTTATCGATTTTTTTTTTT